CCTTAGCCGTGGATCACTTCCACATTTTCAATAATTCGTCTGAATGAAGGTGGCATTTTATTGAGAATTCTGTGTTGCAGAAACTCTTGAGCTTATGAACATCAAACCACCTCCCACCACTAGGATGGAGCTGTACATCTTCTTTTTGGTATCATCAGATGCTGAAAAGACAGTGATTATTCCTTCCATACCTTTTCTCCACAACCCCGACTCTAGGCTAAGCCACATCATCTCTTGCTTGGTCAACTGCAATAGCCTTCTCAAAGATCTTCCTCCAACCACTCAAACACTGCAGCCGGAGGAACCTGGCACAAGCAGAAATATGTGAGCACGCTGCACACTCACACCCTGCTACTCACAGGATTAAGACCAAAATCTTTAAGGGAGCAGACAAAATCCAATGTAGAGTTGTGGGGTGTTCTCACCCACTTCTCTAGCCTCATCCCCACCCCTGCTTCTGAGACACACTGGCCTTCATACGCTTCCTCCTCTGCCTGGAACACCACCCACCTGTGCCACCACTCCCCTCACACACAGGTCTCTCTCAAGGGGCTTGTCCTTAAGGAGGCTTCACTGCGTCCTTCCCCCCATAACTCCCCTAGGAAGTAAAGATCCCTTACTAACTCCCTCAATCAGAAGCTCTCAGTCAGTACCTTTAGCTCAACTTTGTTGCATCTTCCTTAGTTGTAATTTCACACTTTGTGTAATAATCAGCCTTATTTTGGTCCTCCTCCACTAGGCTATATGCTCAATGAGGCCAGAACCAATTCTATTTCATTACTGTATTCCCAACACCTGTCAAAGCAGGTGCAGGGTAGCTGTTTGTAGTTTTTCAACAAACATGCTACACTGACACACTATACGCTAGGCTAAACCAATCATCTAATTGCTAGCTCATACACTGCTGTCTCCCAATCTCCCCAGATTGCTTACAACAGCAGTCTATGCTGTGAAGGATGGCTTTGTCAGGCCCAGGGCTTTCCCTTCAAACAGTGAGATGGCCAGTCTTTCTGGACATCAGTGCAGTGAGGCCTCTCAGAATCACTTGCGCCATCAGGCAGTCTCCCTGGGAGGACCCCAAATCCACCTCTTGGGAATGAAGTCTTTCTGGAAGATCAGAGGACTGGCCACGAAGATCTTCACATCCAATGGGTTTGGATGCAGACTTTCGGTCAGCAGTAGTTTTGCAGACTAAATCAATCAAAAAGACAGTCAGGTAAATGGTATGACTACAACAAACACTGTTGATGTTGTCTAGCTTAAACCCTACCCATCCCTACCCCACTTCTATACACTACTATAAAGTAAAAGCCACCATAGTATATAACAACTGCTTAGTGTTCATTACCAGACAACTTGGGAATGAGAGGTAGTGTATAGAAAATGAGGACGCTCTCTGACAATTCCAAAGCAATCTGGCAGGCCAGAGTAGGTCTCTCAGAACCTTATCATCACTGCTTGGATTTTAAGGTTGAAATGTCAACATAGATAGACTTTCTTCCCCTTAAACTGAGTTTTAAGTAGAATATTTTCAGGGGCTTCATGGGCCAGTGGCTGTTATGGAATCCTTGTTTTCAGAATCCTATCTATCACTTCATGCTTGGCCTCTAGGGCAGGGATAAAGACTAAAAAGTCTATTCTTCATCACAAGCGTGCTGCTATTTCATTAGGAGATAAGAGCTTTGTTTGTGCCCTCTACACCAGGGCACCAGACATCCTATATACTCAGATCAGCTGTCAACAAAGGAATTCAGCTCTTTGCCTATGCCACACACTTTCACATAGTTAAAAAATAGTGATATTTACCAAAAATACCACTGGATATTGAGAAGTACATAGTGTCATTAAATAATACACGCCCAAGGAAAGTGTCTTCATTAAGTTAGCTTTTAAAGTATAAGGACTGGCGATTGGAAATTAGGTTAAATGTCTGAACAGAGAGAACCTGTCATCCAGATTATAAATTCAGACCTCCATTCTTCTCCACTCTAAAAGCAGCATCAGTGTTGGTATGCTGGAAGACTGCGGTGATTGCAAATGATCTAATAATTCTGACAAAACTTCTCCTTCGGGACAAAACTGTCTTGCTTTCCCACCAGAGAATGGTCATGGACCTGTTCCTGCTTGCTCTGAGTGGGCAGAAGGTACTGCTCATCGTGAGGGTCCTCAGGATCGCCCTGGATCTGTGCTGCAAAGTCATCATCTTCTGTCCCACAATTCCAAAAGTTGCTGGGTAAAACAAAGCCATTGGAGCCTGTGAATGAAGGAAAAGAGTGATCAACAAAAGGTATTCTCCTCCTGAAAAACCATCCCACTGTTATTTTGTTCCAAAAACAAAACCTGGCAGATCGAGTCTGTAAGTCAGACAGAGCAGCACGCCCTCTGCAGGGTGGCACTATTCTTTCAGTGCACACGCAGGCCAGACTCACTCAGCATCCAAATAAATGGGTGCCACGACACCATATGAGAGAATCTCACGAGCAATGTAAGCAAATGCTTCATTACCTAGTTTAAATTTCCTAATAAGAATGGGCCTCTTGTGCTCGCTTCAGCAGCACATATACTAAAACATACACTAAAATAATACAGAAGAGCATGGCCCCTGCTCATTTAAAAAACAAAAAAAGAGATGGGGCCTCTCTAACAACTCCTCACATAACAGCTAAGATGTTCCTCATTACCTATTTTAATTTCCCTGTGAGTGGTTAAATGGTTGGGTTTGGTGGATAATCTACAAACCGTTTATGTTCTGACCTCACGATGTTTCCGAAGTATTTATACTCAGTTTGATTGAACCTGGATGGCTTTCCTTTCTACCCATGAAATATATCCTATATGTTACCTGGAGTTTTTCATCTCCTAATCGAAACTGGTAAAGTAGGGCAGGAGAATTGGATGTCGAATCTAAACTCATGGTCCTGAACCAGAGATGTCTGATTCCGGAAAAGATGCTTGTCATGTGAATCAGTAAGAATGCATGTAAACTCTTCAAATTATTGCTCAAGCTTCTCCATTTATCTACATATCAATTATAAAAAGGCAAACCCTACAATTTTTTTTTCTAGAGACAGAGTCTCACTCTGTTGCCCAGGCTAAAGTGCAGTTGACACCATCATAAACTCACTGCAGCCTCAACTTCTGGGTTCAAGGAATCCTCCTGAGTAGCGACTATAGGTGTATACCACCACACACAACTAATTTTGTTTTTTATTTTTTGTAGAGATAAGGTCTCACTACTATTGCCAGGCTAGTCTGGAACTCCTGGCCTCCAGTGATCCTCCTGCCATGGGCTCCCAAAGTGTGGGATTATGGGTTGTGAGCCACCACATCCAAGGCCACCCTACAATTTTTTAACACTCTCAGTGTAACTTAATAAAACAAGAGTTCGCCTGGTGCTGTGGCTCACGCCTGTAATCCTAGCATCTGGAGGCAGAGGCGGGCGGATTGCTCGAGGTCAGGAATTCGAAACCAGCAAGAGCGAGACCTTGTCCCTACTATAAATAGAAAGAAATTAATTGGCCAATTAATATAT